TTTCAAAGAATGGACAAACTAGAGAACACATTCTCCTTTCATACACTCTTGGTGTTAAACAAATGATTGTTGGAGTTAACAAGATGGATGCCATCCAATACAAACAAGAAAGATATGAAGAAATTAAGAAAGAAATTAGTGCATTCCTTAAGAAGACTGGATACAATCCAGACAAGATTCCATTTGTCCCAATTTCAGGATTCCAAGGAGATAATATGATTGAACCATCAACCAACATGCCATGGTACAAGGGACCAACATTAATTGGAGCACTTGATTCAGTCACTCCACCAGAAAGACCAGTTGATAAACCACTTAGACTTCCACTTCAAGATGTTTACAAGATCTCAGGTATTGGAACAGTACCATGTGGAAGAGTTGAAACAGGAGTCCTTAGACCAGGAACTATTGTTCAATTTGCACCATCAGGAGTATCATCAGAATGTAAATCAGTTGAAATGCATCATACTGCACTTGCACAAGCTATTCCAGGTGATAATGTTGGATTTAATGTCAGAAACTTAACAGTTAAAGATATTAAGAGAGGAAATGTTGCATCAGATGCTAAGAATCAACCAGCTGTTGGATGTGAAGATTTCACTGCACAAGTTATTGTTATGAATCATCCAGGACAAATTAGAAAAGGATACACCCCAGTTCTTGATTGCCACACTTCTCACATTGCATGTAAATTCGAAGAATTATTAAGCAAGATTGATAGAAGAACTGGTAAATCTATGGAAGGAGGAGAACCAGAATATATTAAGAATGGAGATTCTGCTCTTGTTAAGATTGTTCCAACTAAACCACTTTGTGTTGAAGAATTTGCTAAATTCCCACCATTGGGAAGATTTGCTGTTAGAGATATGAAACAAACAGTTGCAGTTGGAGTTGTTAAAGCTGTTACACCAAGAGCTTCTAATGCAGCAGCCGCTGGAAAGAAGAAATAATTAAGATATTAATTATTTAAATAAAGAAATTGTTTATTTTTTTAAGAAATAAAAATTGGAAAGAGAAGTTAATAAAGAAAATAGAATTTTATATAATAAGATTTGATTATATTTTTATTCTCTTTTTCTCTTTCTTTTCTGTCATTTCTTTATCTGAAAGAAATACATTTTAACAACATTTATTTCATCTCAATCACAACATTTCGTTTTGATGTGACACATTCTTCTTTTCCACAATAGACTTTTCAAATCAATTCTGTTCAATCTGTTTTGTTAACGTGATGATTCTCTCTTTTATTTGTTATTTTCTTATATAACAAATTACCATAACTACCATCCTTCCTATTTGAATAACT